CTCTAAGAGAACATTTATGCCCTGGCCAGTGTGGCTCAGTTGGTTGAGCATTGCCCCATGCACTGAGAGGTTTCATGTTCGATTCATGGGTTTCGGGCTGGATCCCTGGTAGGGGGAGTGCAGGAGGCGGCCTGTTGTTTCTCTCTCATTGATGTTTCTGTCCCTCTCTCCCTCTCCCTTCCTCTCTTTAAGATCCATTAAAAATATTATTAAAAAAATAATCAACCAATGAATGCAGAAATAAGTGGAACAACAAATCTATGTTTCTCTCTCTAAAAATAAATAAATTTAAAAAAAAAAAAAAAAGGATTCCACCCAACCGGCCTGGCTCAGTGGTTGAGTGTTGACCTATGAACCAGGATGTGATGGTCAGATTCCCAGTCAGGACACATGCCTGGGTTGCAGGCTTGATCCCCAGTGTGGGGTGTGCAGAAGGCAGCTGATCAATGATTCTCTCTCATCATTGATGTTTCTATCTCTCCCTCTCCCCTCTCTGAAATCAATAAAAATATATTTAAAAAATAAAGGAATTCCTAAGGAATTTGTTAAATGCAGATGCCAGGGCTCCACCCCTGGTGCTGGAATCCAGAAACTGTAGAATGGGGCCCATAGGCCAGGACAAGTGTTTGTCTCCTGTGGATTAACTCCACCTTTTCAAAGACAAAGATAAGCTCCCAACAATAGCACACCTACGCCTCAGACCTGCAGTGAACCAGTTTCCTTACAAATACCTTTCACAACCTCTCCCTGAATTCTCACAACTCATTTCAGTGATGAGGATACTGAAACCCAGAGAGGGGGCGTGAACTGCCCTGAGATGCAGACCCAGGAAGACCAGATGGGGTGGCCTGATGGCCACCAGTATATCCCTTTAAGAGGGAGGCTTTTCCCTGGCAACTGGTGTTCAGATGGGGCCCTGAGGAGGCCCTAGGGAAAGCGAGGAGCAGGACCGGGGGAACTGGGACTGGGAGGCCTGGCCAGAAGGGTTTCCAGAGCACCAAAGGAAGCCAGGCCCGAAGGCAGGGGGCCTGAGACCCCATCCTGGCAGGATCCTGCTCACGAAGGAAGACTAGGCTCTTCTGGGCCATACAGTTGGCCGAGGTTTGCAGGTTAGTGACTTCCATGTTTGCTTTGGGCAGTATAGCTCATCTGCTGGGCATTTCATTTTCTTTTGCCAGAATCCTCTGAGGTGACAGTGCTGACACTCCATTTTCAGACCTAGGTACTGACACCAGAGCTGAAGTTGCTTTCCCGGGTCACACAGAACAGTCAGGACTCACATTCAGTTCCACCCACCAAAGCCCAGGCTTTTCCCGGGCCCCTTGGCGGAAGGCCAAGTGTCAACACGTTGCCGAATGAATACAGGGGTGTTGCCCCTCTTCCCTGTCTGGAGTGTGACCTGAAGGTGGGCAGTCCCAGCCCAAGGGGCAGCCCAGGTGTAGTGGGGGTACAGTCAGACTGACAGTTCCTGGGGCTGCCTCTCCCCAGGCGACCTTGGGCAGGTCCCTCCCACTCTCTGGTCCTGTTCCTTGTCTATAAATGGGACCATCACTGCAGCCTCTCTGGGTGTAGGGGAGGAGATGTGCTTAAAGAGGATCAGGGTAGAGCTATTGCTGGTTTTAATTCCATCTTGGTTTGGAGCAGTGGGTGGTTGGTGAGACTGTGGGTGTTAGTCGTTTTTTCTTCATTTTCCAAAATGCCTGCAGAGCTTACATTGTTTTCACAATAAACAAGGGTGTTACATTTAAACCAGCTGCAGTGCGCATGTTTATAGGTGTTTTGTGGAGGGAGTGGAGGCTGTTGCTGGGTTGGCACAGGCCCCCTTGGGGCTCCTTCAGCCAAAGCCAGTGGGGACATAGATGGCTGGGCCCCAGCACTGCCCCGCCTGGGGGTGGGACGCAAGGACAGCAGCCTCCTGACACCTGGGTTAGTGATTTCTGTGGTTTAGACTTGAGCCCCAGGACTGAGACCTTGGGCAAGTCACTCCTCACCTCTCATGCCAGGGATGGAGAGAGGTTAAATGAACTGAGGCCCAGTGAAAGGAAGGCCCGATCAAGGTATCTGAGGCAGAGGTTCAATCCGGGCGTCTAAATCCAGGTCCAGGGTTTGTTATGACCTGCCTCTCCCCCTCTGTGTGGGCCTATGGGGACTGACGCACTCTGTGATGGCAGCTCTCTGCCAGGCCCTGTGCTGGGTGCTGGGCACTCAGATGACCACAGCCAGGCCCTGCCCCAGCTGGCAGGAGTGTTTGGGAGGCACCCGCAGGAGGGAAGGGGCAGCTGTGCGTGGAGGGGGCAAAGGCTTTGCAGAGAAGTGCTAAAGCTGGGCCCTTAGCACCTGGTGAGGGGCTGCTCTGAGGATAGGTGGAGAGGGGAGAATTCAGGTCCAGCAAATGGTAAATTAAGGCCAGAGGTGGAAACCGCCTGCAGTGATAGGAACTGCTCTTGCAGGAAGGTGTGGGGTTGGAGGTCCGAGGATAAATTCGAGAAGCGCCTTGATAAATGCGTTGCCCCGAGGACTCTTTGGGGGCCACGAAAGGGTAGAGGTGTGTGGGGAGCAGGGCATAGTCTTGTGACCTGCGGTATCCAGGTCAGCCTAGTTTGGCTGTGGGCAGTTGTGGGGTGTACAGCGCCACCTGGTGCCCATCTCTCTCACTGCAGTGTAACCTTACCTGGCTTTTTCAGCGGGGTTCTCCCCCATCTTTGTAAATCAGTGGTCAAAGTCATACACTCGTTCCTGCTTTCACCACTTCTTATCTGTAAGGCTTACAACCAAGCAAAGGTGGAACATCCAGACTCAGCAAAGTCAAGCTCAGAGACAGACAGACAAAAAAGCCAGGGCTTCATGTTGGACGCTCACCCGGACCGTCACACCTGACACAAACGCAGCAGGCAGAGGGAGTTTATTGCATTAGAAAAAACATCAAAGAAAACCAGCAAACACCTCCGTACTAAACACAGTTATTAGTTTGACTTCAAGGGCAAAAAGGAATCTCAAAGGTACAAGCTTTATTTCTGGGAGGGGTGCCGGTCTCATCCCACCTCCTTCTGTCCCTTTAAACCAGCAGACTGCTATGGAGGTGTCCACTGTGCACCACAATCACACACGTGGCTCCCTTGTCACTCTGGTCACCCCTGCACGCCCGTGTGGAGCTAGCTGGGCACAATGGACACGCTCCTGAGGTGCTGGGAGACAGAGAATGTGAGGGGGGTCCGAGTCTGAGCCTGGGCTTCCGAAGTGAGCGCCGGTAGGACTTGGCTTGGGGAGGGAGAGCTTGCTTTCCTGCAGGGCTCTGAGAAGATGGCTTACTGATCCCTCTGTCTCTCCCTAGGGCACAGGCATTGGCACAAATGGCTGCTGGGCATGAAGGGGACTTTCAATGGACCAAGTGACTCAAAGTCTCTTAGGGGAGCCATTTTTCAGTATAGCCCTGGGTCTGGAGGTGACTGTGGGAGGAGAAAGAAGAGATGGGGAGGAGAGAGAAGAGGAGCTGTGATGCCCAGCACCCTCTGGCTGGAGCTCTGTGTGGAGAGGTGGGCTGGGCCAGGCAGCTGGAAAGGAGACACCAGGCGGGAAGGAGCCAACGTGCTGCCTTCCTGGGAGAAACCCATGCCCCGTGGTCCATTCTCTAGTCGATGCCCCGTGGTCCATTCTCCAGTCGATGTCTGCTCTAGTGGATCACTGCTACGCATTCTGGCAAATCAGTGGGTCTTGAGAAGAATTAAACACTCATTCGTTTGGCCTCCCATCGTAAAAGTTCCAAAATGTCACTTGACATCACAGCTGGCCAGGTCACAGGCAAACACAGCTGGCCAGGTCACAGGCAAACACTAAGGCAGACTAACATCTTTTCCTTGAGCTGAGACCCTGATGCCAACTGCTCTGCGGATGGCACAGACAGGAGAGGGGCCAGAGGGGAGCAGCAGCTTTTTGGAAAAGAAAGGCACCTGCTGCAGGCCAGACCCCAGGAAAGACAACATAATTCAAGTCTAAGAAGTTGCAGGAGGAGGGGCAAGAGGGGCAATGCCGGAGCTGGGCCTCAGGTACCTGGCAGCCGAGTCCTCCCTCCACCCTCACTTCCCCCAAAGCCAACTTAAGGGGAGGCGCAGTGAAGAAAGGGAATCTGAAAGCCTCTCTGGATAAGAAACTTCCAGATTGTTCCCTGCCTATAAGCTCTCAGCAGCAGCTCATAAGGAAAATGGCCACGCACCCCCTACCACGCTTCCTTAAGGTCAAAATGACGATGGAAACAACATGTGTCTTCACAACACATTTAGGATAATGCACAAATTCCTATTAGAAACAACTCTAAGTTTCTTGCCACCTTGACTCTGCATTATTATTCTTTCTACATTTCCTGGAGCCGGGAATCATTCCCCTTGGTCCCAGCTGAATACTGCACACTGGTCTGGGTGGGGAGGTGACTGTAATAAGGTTATTACATGTGACTTGCAGACAGGGGGCCTGGGTCTCTGCCACTCCAGCCGGACCCTCGTTAATTACAACAGGTCAGCTATGCTGAGGAAGGCAGGTTCTCCAAAATTGATGTCTGAGGATTGGCCATCAGTCTAGGGAGGCAGGAGGAATGGCTTTATCCTGTTTTCTCTGCCTGACACTTCCTGTCGCTCTCCCTCGATCCTGAGGCTTTTGGCGGCTCCAGCTCGGGCCCCATGGCCTGCTTGGGGTAGAGGAGGGAAGGTGACACAGCTGTGGCTAGAGTTCACTTAGGTTGGGTGAGTCATCCTGAAACTGGTTCCAGTGCACCAACTCCTCTGGTTCGTTTAAACACTAGTGAGGAACTGCTTCCAGGTCATGGCTGTTGTAAAACTCACCGGGATCCCCACAGGAGGTGGCAACCTGGGTAGAGCATGGGTGTTTTCTGGAAAGAGGTTCTAGGTTGGGGCTCCCCCAAACTGTACTTCCTGCTTAAACAAACCCCCTCCTTTCCTCGAGCGTGGAGGACGCTTAGGAAGCAGCGTCAAGTGAACGCACAGACAAGACAGCCTTAATAAATTAGTATAATACTTTCAAAGGGATGGCATTTTGTTCTGTTCTTAGCAGCATTGTCCTACATGCAGCCTGATGATCTCCTTCCCTGGGAAATTTAAAAAGCTGTCCCCTGGTTGTTAGCTCTGATGTAAAATTATAAAATAGAAATCTGGTCGGGTTTGTTTTGTTTAAAAAGGAAAGCCCTGGGAGGCAGGGCGGTCCCATGCAGTCCTGTTAGCTCTGACCGTTGGGTCGGCCCATGGTGCTCCCTCCAGGAGGCTGGATCTGGATGGAGTCCAGGAGGGGCCGCAGGGCCTGTCCGAAGGGGCTGCGGAGAAAGCAGACACAGGAGCTCAGGTGGGTTCGTGGACCGCCAGCACGCCCAGCTCCCCACAGGTGCAGCGTCAGCACCACATGGGAAGGACACTCTTACCTCATCTCTTCTTCCCACTTGCCTCCCGCCTGGCTTTTCTTGGGAGGGGTCTCTAAGGAGCCTGCTCTGCATTTTGACACCTGGGGTCCCCTCTCCAGTAGATGCTACCATCTCACTACCTTTGCCTCTAGGTCCTGGTTAGTTCTATGGCTTGAACAGGCTGGCCACATACAGGGAACTAGAGCTTCTTGTACTTTCTGTACTTGTATCTTTAATTTTCATGGTACAAGAAGATAAAATAAAGTTTAATGAGGAAGCTGAGGGGGAAAAAAGACACGAAAAAGGAAAAGTCAGGAGATTCTGCTAGGGACACAGGAAGAGTCAGGAAATGCAACAAATGCAGGCTGCCAGGTGTCAATGCCACTTTGTAAAGGGCTCCCCAGTTGTTCTCAGAGGAGCTTGGCTGGAACTGCAAACACCGGATGTCAGAGACTGTCCAAGATTACTCAACCTTACAACAGGTTGTCCACAACACATCTCAGTTACTGGGGTTGTTTTCCTTCAGGGGATACTACCATTTTGGAAAATTGTCCCCAAATTCAAAGGGAATGAAGTATTCCAAACAGAAACAGATGAAACTGAAAAACAGTAACCTTAGTTCAGTCTCCACCCATCAAATAATAACAGCAAGAACATTCCAGCTACTAAAGCTTGCTCAGGGCCCCATAACCTAGATCCTTAGTAAGGCGGCGTGGTTGAACACACCCGCCAAGGAAGGCAGGGCCAGGGCTGGGACAGAGCAGCCTCGTGTCCGATGCAGTTTTTCCTGAGGGGTTCCTACCCAGGTGTGAAAACAGTCCCCTTGCCGAGCCTGCTCAACCTGCTGGGATCCCTGTCGGACAGGCCCAAGTTCAGGAGAAACTGAGTCAGAGTCAACAAATGGACATGGCCCTGGAGTGGGCAGAAGCTGCCTGAACGCAGTCAATAGCAAAGGAATGGAGGGGTGTGATGGCTTTGGGTGGGTGTGTGTCCTCTTAGGGACAGTGCCTGGGTGATGGCCCATAAGGTACGAGGGCAAGTAGGAAGTTGTCTTTGAGGGCGTCAAAGAGCTCATGGTGCAGAGGAAGAAAGACTAACAACAAGCCGCCCTCGGAATTCTCTGACCTACTCTCTGCTTCTCCATCTGAAACTGCATTATAAGCGGGCACTTCTGGGGAGTGGCATGCTTCGTGTGCAATGGGAAAGACAGATGCCAGATTCTGTACAAGTAGGTTTCTAAGTTCTGCGATTGCACTCAGACCAGGGTAGATGGCCCAACTCCAAGTCGGGTGAAGGTAATACAAGGGTGCACTGGTGAGGAGAGAAAACGGTGGCCTTCCGTGTTCGAAGCTATCATCGTGACAGGGCCCATCAGGCTTGGGAAGACTCTGCCGAGACCAGGAGAGGGCAGACCTGGGCGGAGGAGTGGCACTGGCCGGGAATGGGGACTTACAAGGCAGGGCAGAGGCAGAGGGCACTTACGTGGAGAGAACTTCAGAGGGAAGGTCAGTGATGTAGGAAGGGATCTTCCTCCCGGTCAGGAACTGTGCCACTTCATTGCTGAAGGTGTTACAGTTGTGTTCAAAGAGGTTGTAGGCCTCGCCTCTGCACATTGTGAGAAAGGAGCACAGGCATGAGCGAGCAGCCAGCAAGCGAGTGTAAGAAATGCTCAACCAGGTAATGGAAGGGGGAGCACAGCTGAATTTGAGGGCTGCTTGGTTTGCCTCGCTGGACCATTGGAAACAGATTTTGAAGGGAAGGATGAGATATAAACATGAGGCTCCTCTACAATTTCAGGACAATCTTTACTTTCACAAAAGCAGAGCTCTAGGGTTGGAGTTTAACAGTTACTGAATCGACAAAAGCTTCTTTAAGAGAAAATCTGCTCGAGTTTGTATTCTATCCCAACCCCTCTACAAACCTTGGTTTTGATTCTCAGCACAAAACACTTGGCCAGTGGAAGCTGAGGACAGGAGCTGCTGAATAGCAGCAGCTGATTTTAATCAGGAAGAATCACTAGCCCGTCCTTCCTCCAAGTCTCAGCAGAAGGCCCGCGCTCTTCTGCCTCCTCTGCATGTCTATTCAGCAAATGCTGGGCCAGGCCCGGTGCTGAGGACTCTGGGGATGGGACTGGTGGCTGCCCTCTGGGGGTGATCATCTAGTGGGGAGACAGACACACTAACCACCACCCTGTCTCCACTCACCGGAACTGAGACTCCCCCAGGGAGGACAGGTACTCCAGAAAGATTTCTTCTGTGACTTCTGTGCTCCCCACATCAACCACAGAGTCTGGGGGCCCAAGCAATGTCCCTCCCTAAAAGAGCCAACCCAAAGAGAGTCATTAAATTACCATTTCCATTGAACTTTTTAATGTGCCTTTCCATGGACGACCACAAATGCTCTGTTCTGACAACTTTAACTCTCAGAGCACCTAGGGCAGATGAAGAATGTTACTTCCTATTTGCACCGGGGCTCCAATGGCTTAGAGCTTCCTGGAGACTTGCCATTGCCAGTGCTAGAAAGACGGCTAAGAAATTGGGCTTCTAGTTTCTGGTGGGGGCCTGGGAAGCCGAGTCTCCTGCAGGTCAGACTCCTGATGCTGTCCACTCCTTCAGCTGATAAAAAGACAGGAACCCAGAATCTGAATCTCCCTTCGTCCCCAAACTGCCTGACCATGAGGGCAGAACAGGACAATTAGAAATGGCTCCCACATGACAGACCACCTTTCTATGCCCATGTCCAAAAGGTAAGCAGCAGGGTTTCTAGTGACAAACTTGATGTCCCTTGAACACAGGGAAAATGTGAAGGACTGTGAGCAATCTGGCAGGCTGGCAAATATTTCAAAATTCAGTTCTTTTACGATCGGTGAGGATAATCCAATGATGCTAATAGGGTTCCTGAAAGGCCTACAGAAAACCCTCAGCCATGGGCTAACAGACCGCCACAGTAGACCAAGGGCAAGACTGAGGCCCAGTGGGAAAACCAGCCACGGGGAAGCAACAGGATCACTGGGGGGCGAGGGAGGGACAGCGCTGGGAATGAGCTGGGAAAAAGGTAGCGCGCTCCAAAGCAAAGCTCCCTGCAAAGACCATGAATTTATACAACAGCTAGTGAGCACCTACTATGTGCCTGACATTGTTCCAGGCACTGGAGAGGGCACGGTGAGCAGGATAATCATGGTAGCCAGAGAAAAATGACCTCAGAGTTTTAAGAAACGAAAAGGTCACTATTCGACCCCCCTCCCCCATTATGCACTCATATAACAAATATGTATTGAGAACTCACTATGTGACGGGCCTTATGCTAGGCACTGGGGTATGATGTAAGAAAACAGATGAGTTTCTTGCCCTCAGGGAGCTTATAGCCTAGTGGGGAAGGCAGACAAAAAATCCCATAAACCAATGTATTATTATGAGTTGCAATAAGGGTCTTGCTGGAAAATTACAGAATGCTGTCAGTACATATGGCAGGGGACCATTCCAGTCTGAAGGGTCAGGAAGATTTGAGGGTCAGGGACACTGAGCTCAAATCTGAAGGATGGAGAAGCATAACAAGGTGAGAGATCGGGGAGTGGGCTGAAGGCAGTGGAGAGGTTTGAAGGTGTGTTCCAGGAGTAAGGAGAGGGGTTGGGCAAGGGCATGACTTGAAAAGAGGCCACCCCAAGAGGCAGCCTGAGACCAGTTAGAGCCCTGGAGGTCACGCCCAGCTTTCTGGGTTTTTTTGTTTTTGTTTTTTTCTAAAAACAAAAGAGAGAGAAGGAGAAGGGGAGAGAGAAACATCAATGATGAGAGAGAATCATTGATTGGCTGCCTCCTGCACGCCCCCCACTGGGGATTGAGCCCGCAACCCAGGCATGTGCCCTTGGCTGGAATCGAATCTGGGACCCCTCAGTCCACAGGTCGACACTCTATCCACTGAACCAAACCAGCCAGGGTGAGCTTTCTGGTTTTTATTCCAAGAATAATGGGTGGAGTTTTGTGGCAGGGGGATGCCACCATCAGATTTTCATTTGGAAAAGGTCACTTTGCTTCCCGTGGGGAGAACTGACTGATGGAGAGGAGTAGATGCATTGCTGTGGTCCAGGCTGGATATGAGTGTGGCCTGGATTAGGTGAAAGCCCTGGAGAAAAGGGGATAGGTGAGGAGAGAACGGCTGATTCAAGACACATTTACAAGGTAGAATTGACTGGGCGTAATGAAGGATTTGTTATCGGTGAGGGGCCAGTGAGAAGAAACCAAGAATGACTTCCCATTTATGAGTATCAAAATGAACGGCTATGTGGTTTGAGCACCTCCTGGGACAACCCTGGCTAGTTCAGACAGGAATGTTTTGGAAAACGGCATGGGCTTTAGAGTCACAGACCTGTTTAAGTACTGCTGCCACGCACTGGCCATGTAACTTTGGGCAACTCACTTTACCTCTCAGAGCCCGCATATTCGGCTTCACATTGGCTGAGTTCATGCTGTGAGCCGGGCACGGAGCTGGTCACGGGATAGGAGAGTGAGGCACAGTCTCGGCTCCCCAAGAGCTCACATAGTTCCTGTGGAGCCCCAGGAACAGCTCAATTCACCACAACACGCTCAGTGTGACACACAGGGACCCAAAAGTGCTGTGGGAGCAGAGAGCACAGCAACTGGCCGGAGGGCCTGGGGAGGGTTCTCTTGAGCTGAGCCTTCAGGCAGTTGCGAGGAGCGATGCCACAGGCCTACATGCACTGGGCCAGGACGAGAACACAGAGAGTAGCAGCTGAGTTCCTGGTCTCTGGGAATCCCCAGGAACCTGAGACTGCAGGACAGGGCTGGGGAGGGTCACTCACCGGGGGACAGCTGGAGATCCCACCGCTGCCAAAGAAGAACTCATCCTTGTGTACAACTATGGAGGTGTGCCTGCAATGCAGAGAGGAGACAGAATAAGCCAGAAAACTTAAAACCATCTGAGAAAAAGCAATCACCACACTGCACTGAGAATCATTTCTGCCCACGGATAGGACTGTGGTCAACAGCCTTACAAAACCAACCAAAGGCAAGATAAACACCACAGGTGAGGGTTCCCAACTCTGGCACTATTGACATTTGGGGCTAGACAGTTCTTGACTGGGGGCTGGCCTGTGTAGTGCAGGATGTGTAGCAGCATCCTGGCCTCCACAGACTGGATGCCAGCAGCATCCCCTCCCCTCAGTTGTGACAACCAAACATGTCTCCAGACATTACCAAATGTCTCGGAACTGACCCCAGCTGAGAACCATGTAAGCAGAGGGGAGTCCCTAGAGATTCACCTTGGTATTAACAAATCAATTACTGAAATAAAGACTGCAGACCAAGGTGTGTTCCCGGGCTTTTTAAACTAACAGGAGCAGTGCACCTGGACCATGCTGATGGAAGGACCAGATGGTGTGAAGGGTGGACCTATTTCAGGTGAAGAGGTTCATATTACTTGGTTTGAGTCAAACAAAGCAAAGGGCCATTCTATCAATCCAATGTCAGGAGGGTCTAGGAGTCAAGACTGAATACTGACCTATGGCTTCCTCATGAGTGGAGCTGAGAGCTCAGCCACCGTCTCGTTGTCTGACAGGGATGGGTCCAGCAGTGAGAGATCAAAGTAGGTGTGATTTAAGACAGACTTGTGGGGCCTTCAGACTTCTGTAGTTAGAAACCTTGGTGAGGGGCGGGCAGGACATCTCTCTGCCTTTCTTTAGGGCAGGGTTTCTCAATCTCAGCACCACTGCCAGTTGTGGCTGAGTAATTCTTTGTTGTGGGCTGTCCTGTGCACTGTAGGATGTGACAGCAGCATCCCTGGCCTCCACCCACCCACCCAAAATGTCTCCGGACACTGTCCAATGTCCCGGGGGGAGGGGACAAAAGAATTCCTGGCTGAGAACCACCGTGTTACAACTTGAAGATTTATGACGCAGAGCTGGGTTTTAAGCTGGAACCACAGACTGGAACCTGAAGTGCACAGGTTCAGCTTTGTTTCGTAAACCAGTCAACGTAAGGATCCCACCCAACTTACCAGATGCCTTCCAGTTGTTTCCCTGTGGAGAAAAGAAGAGATTTAGCCACTGGGGACTAGACTACATGGCCTCCCAGCTGAGTAACTCCAGATCATCACTCAAACCCAGGGAAACCCACTATCCACGTCTGCAGGGACTTTCTAGGAATGCAATTCTCCTCCAATAAGGTCCTTAGGTCCTGACACAGGTATGTCATGTTAAGTTGAAAAGTGACCAGAATCCATCAGAATGCAAGATAAAAACCCTGGTATAGATGTACTCCAATTGTATATCTGCTTTTCTTCCCCCTTTGGGGTCAATTCAACTTTCAACTTTGCCTTTTTAATTAGTCATATTGAGACTATAGTAAAACAATAGTATAGAAAAGCTATTATCCACTTCTTCACTGAGATAAAATCCTTCAGAAATGAAAGAGCAAAACTGCAAATGCCATCCACTAAATAGTCAATGTAAATGTAGTCTATATCTCTAGATGCCAGAAATGATGTCAGGTACCCACATGCAAATATGAACAGATTACTGTCCTGCCTTTAAGGATCCCAAAGTCAAATGGAAAGAGACACACACATAATTACAACATGTTGATAGGCTTTATAATGTGGTAAAAATAAGGTGCTACCTATAATAAAGATAAAGAACGAGCTTTGTACGCTGCAATTCAACCAGTGAACGGGGGGGCAGGGATGGATGCTTCTGCCACAGGGAGCAGCAGCATGTGCAAACGCACAGCTGTCAAAAAGACCGAGGTCTTTCAGGGTAGAGCGAAGGGTACAGTGATGGTGATAAGAGGACAAGTGGCCAGCAAGGGCGTAGGCAAAGGAGGGTAAGCCTGGACTGAGGGCCATCCTGCATGGTGGGGCTGGGCTGGTGGGGCGCTGACGGTTGTCAGGCAGCACAGTGCCTTAATCAGACCCACGTTTTGAAAAGACAACTATAGGTAGAGAAGATGAATTGGATGAAAGAGCATGGAGAGAGCAGACTTAGGTGAGGAAGTCTTTGCCATAGTCCATGGGAGATACTATACAACAGTGCTAAGGATGAGAAGGCAGGGCAGTGACAGATGTGAGAACATTATCAACACCACTTGCCTTTGGTTATAATTTCACATTAACTGTTTACTGATTGCTAACTGTTACTTTCCACGCTTGCCCTGTGACTTTCTACAGGGTGAAACTCCAAGCATTGTGTGGAAAGAGAGGTGATATGCTTATGTTTCTCCCTTTGTGCAACATACACAATTATGGAATTTATCTAGGAAATAAATGGAATATATTGATTGTCCCTTTAAGAAAATGTTTTACATGGGAAAGAAACCATGGCCCCCTCTGGATAACTAACATACTGATGGGTCAGTGTAGTGTCATCAGAGGAGGTTCAGAGTACAATAGGTTCAGATCCGAGCTTTTCCTCTTGCTAGTCATGGATCTTAGGCAAGTTTACTCAAACTCTCAGAGCTGTTGTGGTCAAGAATAATAATGTATAAAAGCATCACAGTGTGTGGTACATAGAAGTTTGATAAACGGAGACCATTATTAGGCATAATGCCCTCCTCGGGGAAAAGGGTAAAAACCTCCAAAAGAAAAGTGAAATTTGACTTCAGGATTGGTGGGTAAGATCTAAGAACAGATTTCACCAGCAAATTAATATGAAATGCTCTACTTTACACATAACATTTCATTCTTTGCTGTTAGTGTTGCAAGGCTAAATGAAATATGAAGGAAAACAGGGCCCAGTCTGCTCTCCACTGAGAGATCTGCTGTTTTGCCGACACAAGCACAAATGGCAGAGGGGTTCCGCCCTGGCGTTTCCGGGGCAGCCCCTACAGACTGTGGGGCAGGCTCTGCCTTTTCCAAATTGAGCTGAAATCCCAGAGGTGAATCAGAAACAGATTGGATCCCAAGGGGGGGGGGGGGGGGGTGTAACCCATTCAGGACAAGTATCTTCAAATCCTGGCTTACTGGGCTATAAGGTAAACTGGCTTGGATTCTTATCTCTTCCAGCTGACTCCAGAAGACCACTAAGTCTCCTCCTTGTTTACTATGTGTGAAATGGAGAGATGAACGTTGTGTTTTATAGAGCTGATGTGCTCTTCTGGATTGTCATTTATAACACAGCTTGTTGTCTAAACGGCAGCAATTTGCTGTTTATTTCCTTGAAGACATGTAATAATGCAGTGAATTTGGACCGATTAGGGACACTTTTTTTTTTTAATCCTCAACGAAGGGAATTTTTTCCATTGATTTTTAGACAGATTGAAAGGGAGGGAGGAAGGAGAGGGAAAGAGGGAGTTGGAGGAGAGAGAAAGAGAGAGAGAGAGAGAGAGAGAGAGAGAGAGAGACAGAAACATCGACATGAGAGAGACATAGATTGGTTGCCTCCTGCTGGAGCCCCATGGGGCCAGGGATTGAACTTGCAACCTAGGTGCTCTTGACCAGGAATGTGTCTTTTTGTCCTCAGGCCAATGCTCTAACCACTGAAACACCGGCCAGGGCAAGACACTGCTCTTTTTTTTTTCCTGTTCCTGCTCTCATTCACTTCTGGAGGAACACCACACTCTTAAGAGAAAGTATAGCGTAGGGCTCTCCCTCCTGGGAGCACACCCGTGCCTTTCCCTTCCCTCTCTTACTCTTCCTCCCTCTCCCCCAGGCACATTACCCTTAGCTTCCTCATTCCCAAGCTCCAAGGGCCCTTCCTTTACCCCCATAACTCATTTCCTAAACCCATTTCTTCTAGGAATTACTTCTTCTACCTCTGTAATTTACCAAGTAAATGTTCTCTTACAAAGAGAGAGAGAGAGAGAGAGAGAGAGAGAGAGAGAAAGAAAGTATAGTGTAGTGACTAAGAATACAGGTTCTGGTGTGGACAAGTCATGCCTGAATCCCACCAGTTCTCTAAGTGAACTAATGTTTACCATGTGATTACTGTATTTCAGGCACTATTCTTGGCACTAGGGATACATCATAAACAAAGAAGACAAATTTTCATGGACCTTATGGGATGGGGAAGGGGACAGTCAATAAGTAATCTATATATATAAAAGCCTAAGTGACCATTATGATCAGACGACCGGCCGGTAGCTATGATTCGCACTGTCCACCAGGGGGCAGATGCTCAATGCAGGAGCTGCCCCCTGGTGGTCAATGTGCTCCCACAGCCAACCTCCTGTGGGTGGCCAACCTCCCGTCATCCCTCCCAGGCCAGCTGGCCCTGATTGGCCCCAATCAGGGCTGGGTGAGATGGCCCCGATCACTGGCCAGGATGAGGGACTCCACCCATGCACAAATTTGTGCACCGGGCCTCTAGTCTCTATATAAAAGCCTAAGCAACCAGCTGACTGGCCAACCGGCCAGTAGCTATGACGTGCAGTGACCACCAGGGGGGCAGACGCTCAACGCAGGAGCTGCCGAGTGACAGCAACTTTGCAGAGTACCCTCTCGCACTCCAGGACCGCTTGGGGGATGTTGGACTGCCGGTTTTGGCCCAATCCGAGGGACCCCACCAGTGCACGGATTCGTGCACCAGGTCTTTAGTAATAAATATTAATAAACAGTATCATAATATGTTAGCAATAATGAGTATATAGAAAAGTTAAGAACAGGGTAAGGGAGACTGGGAGTTTCAGGGATAGCCAGGGTGGGCCTCTTGGAGAAGAGGACACTTGAGCAAAGACTTGAAGGAGACAAGGGAAGGAGCTATGCAGAGGTGGGACCGGCCAGGCGCACTGAGGGACCTTAAGGAGGCCAGTGTGGCTAGAGTGGAGTGGGTGGGTGAGGAGAAGAAAACTAGGAGATGAGCAGAGGTAATAGAGGACAAATCACATAAAACCTATAGAAGTTGAGAACTTTGCTAAGCCTGAGTGTCCAATATAGTAGCCACTGACTACATGTGACTATTACAATGGGGGGAAAAGAGAACAAGTTCTGTTCACAGTTGTACCACATTTCAAGTACTCAACAGCCACATGGCTACTGGTTAGTGATAGGACAGTGCAGATGTAGAACATTTCATCACTGCACAAAGTTCTACTGGCCAGTGCTGCTTAAACCTCAGCGTGCTATTCTGCTAAACACACACACATAATAGTGTCTATCTCATAACATTTCCAAGATTAAAGAAGACACATGAAATATGCCCATCACAGTGCCTGGCATAAAACACTTGCCTAAAAAAGACTAACTCATTTCTTTCACGCTTTAGAATTTAAGATTGTTATGGCTGCTCTCATAGCACTTTGGTATGGAAACTACCTATTTTTGTCTTTCTCCCCATCAGATTACAATTGTCTCAAAGACAAGGGCAGTTTCTTATGCATCTTTGTAATTCTGGCACCTAGCAAAGCACCTGCAAGAGAGATGCTGCACACCCATCTGTTGAGATGAGGTGTTCTGTTGTCAGCCCTGTTGGTTGACACACCCAGTGCTATTGAGGCCAAAGTTCTTAACCTCAATTTTAACCGCCCTGGCTTGTTATTCAAATGACGTTACAACCTTGGCATACTGCACTCTGAGTCTGCTACTGCCCTCTCTGATGCCCATGCTCAATGACCCAGGAAGACAGCTGGACAGACACATTAGTTCTAACCCAGCCTTACTAAAAGAATGGAGTTTTGGAGAGGGGCCTCAGAGATCACCGTCAGTTATTTAATACTTGAAAACAATTCAAAAGTTGAACGATACAAACCCTACTTTATTCTTTTGATCTTCAGTCTCTGTATCGATCACTAAAGTTGCCTGTAAGCTGGACATGACACATCCTCCTTATTCAATTACATCAAGGAACATTCAAGATCTCATCCATTCATAGAATGGTGATTGGGAGTATAAAAAAAATCCTCTTATCCATTCTTTCATTTATTAATCCAACTGCCAAACATGTGGAGCCAAAAAGAACATTTAAAATTGGCTGAGTAGATTTATATTTTCTTAATTTAAAGTGCTTCATAGTTATCCTTATGCTCACACATCTATACAAGGTAGTGTAGGGCAAATATTTATCGACATTTATTAAGGACCCATGGTTTG